GGGGAGATTTCTCTATTTTTTTGCATATTCTAGCATCAGGTTATGGACGGATAAACATGTGAAGTGGGGTGTGGGGTGTAGGGTTGGGGGTTGGGGTAGTGTGTGTGTGGGTGTAGGGGTGATATTTTTGGGTGGGGTGCACATTATACACATTATACACTATGTTATGCACTATTTTTTTCAGTTAGTGAAAGTTTCCCTACTTTTTTTGCATATTCTTGATTAATGTAATGAATGGATAGACATGACACATGCGGGGTGTAGGTGTGGGTGTGGGTGTGGTGGTGGGGGTAGGTGGTTGGGGTTTGGGCTTTGGTATGGGTGTGGGTGTGTGGGTGTGGTGGGTTCGTGGGTTGGGAGGGGGGGGGGGGGGGCGCACATTATACACGTAAATGTTAAGCATTATTTTTTCAGTTAGTGATACAATTTAAGCTTTTGAGAGTAAATTGAAGTTTCTCTACTCGAACTCGAGAATTCAGTGTTGAGAGCGAACACTTTAACCCGTAGGTTATTCTACCGTAACAGACAGATTTGTGAGCACCATATTTTGGTTGTCTACAGAAAAGCCCGGTTCGATTCCTGACGTGTGATATTTATTTTATTTTTGGATTTTTATAATCATGCAACCTCGAACAGGTTAACACGACAGCTGCCGGCTTCAAAATTGAATCCGTCAAAATCATCGTCCATCTCTCACTTCAATGGGTCATTTAAACTGGAGAGACTTTACATTGCCCTTGGGAAGAACTGCAATGAGCCATCGAGTAGACATTCCAGAATGTTCTTTTGTTCAGTTCTTAATCGAGAATTTTTTCAAAGCGTAGTCTGGAATGGAAGTCGACAGTTTGAAACTAGTGCCGTATACCTCTGGAAGGCCGCTTTCTGATTGGCCATTGTCGACTTCCTGTCATGCTCATTTCATTGGTCGGTCAAAGTTCGCGAAACGTGGTTCTGACGTGACCTGTAATGGGAGGTCCTCAAATATTTGTTTGCGATAGCGAGCACTCAGGTCTAATTTGAAGGAGATCGGTCACTTTGATTAAAAGATATATTCACGTTCCCAACAGCGGTTTTCAACATCGGTTGGGTAGCCTAGTGGTTAAAGCGTTCGCTCATCACGCCAAAGGCTCGTGTTCGATTGCCCAGATGGGTACAATGTGGGAAGCCCGTCTTCCGCCGTGATATTGCTTGAATATTACTAAAAGCGGCGGAAAACCATATTCACTCACTTACTATGAACAAAAGGCTGACTGACGCACTGCTTAAAGACGCACATTGTGATTGTACTTTTAACATTCGTTCGTAACCATAAAAGACAACTTAAATCATTTAACAAACACTTCAAAGGGTGATCTTCCTGGCGAAAACAAAATAAACCCCCACCGGGTTAGAGAAATATTAGTAATCAAATGCCACTATGTTTCCTCTCACTGAGCGTGCTTAACCGCGGTGGATCGATTAAGGAGTAAAAGCATGTAGATTTAGCCCGTACACAACGTATGCCATTACCCGCTTGCTGTCGCTAATGTTGCGCTTAACGCGTGTTATACGCAATAAATGGACATGTTTTTCATCACAAGAATCGGATTTCTGTCGTCCAGGCTTTTATTCTCACCAATCCCTCTAATTTAAAGAAATTAAAAAGATGTTTGCAACTAATGGGTAATTTGGAGTATGGTACAACCTCGTTTTTTTCTCTATTTTTTTTATCGGTTCTATTTCAGGCCAGGGTATCGCATTACTTTGGTAATTGTTCTAAATAAAAATATAAAATACTTACTAAAATCAGCTATTTAAGTCAAAGAAAATCAAATTTGAACTAATATATTATGACTTCATATTCTGTTTGAATGGCCGATGTCGATATTCACTCGTCCAATCAAGTATTATAAATCTACAATAGCCATTTGCCCCATCATAGAATAAGTACTAATATTTCATGTTTTTATATCCGCTGGTCACTCCGAAGTCCCGGGTTCGATTCCCCATATGGGTACAATTTGTGAAGCCCATTTCTGGTGTCCCTCGCCGTGACATTGCTAAAAGCGGCGTAAAACCATATTCATTCCCTCGTGCTATTGCAAATACATAACTGTAAGAGTGAGTTGATATTGTTTTAAGCCGCTGATGAATGTTCCAGCAATATCACGGCGGGGAACACCAAACATGGTCTTTACTCAAGGAAACCCTGTTGGGAATCGAACATAGGTCTTCAGGTTGACAAGTGAACGCTTTAACCACTAGACTAGCCACTACCAACCGTTTACAAATGTGATACAGTGTGTACCAGAAATAACAAGACAATTCTCCTAGATAATAGATACACGATTACTGGGCTAATGTGTAATTATCTATTCAATCGAAGTCCAAATATCAAGTTTCAACCACACTTATTATTAATAAATGATGATTAAATTGAATTTTCAGCAACCTTAATGTACTTATTCGACGTGAAATGGTTCTAGAGCATCAACAGCCAGGCCTAAAACCTCCCATAAATTGCAAGCTATTTGTATTAATTCTGAACAAGGGATTCTTTTTACACATGTGACAGTGTATCACTACATGTATGTCATAGATATATAGTAATGAAATTAACACCTCGTAGGCGTGTGATGATTCTCGACCTGTTATTAAAACCAGTCAATACCAATCACCACCATCTTGCTGACATTTCCAATAATCGACCAGGTTGTAATAACTGTTTACGATGCTGTCCGTACACTGCCCCCTTCACTCATGTCTGTGGTTCTGGGGGATGTGTGTGTTTGTGTGGTGGGGGAGTGGGGAGGGTGCTTCTTTGTGTTCATCTAGGTTCTTTTTACCATACATACGTTTTATAGTTATTGACACATGTCTGTTTCGATCATTTTAACACAGTTAATCGTCGTCAGTCATATATTCTGTAATAAGTAGGTTTTAGGAGAAAGAGAGAGAGAGAGAGAGAGAGAGAGAGAGAGAGAGAGAGAGAGAGAGAGAGAGAGAGAGAGAGAGAGAGAGAGAGAGAGAGAGAGAGAGAGAGGGAGGGAGGGAGTGAGAGAGAGAGGGGGGAGGGAGGGAGTGAGAGAGAGGGAGGGAGAGAGAGGGAGAGAGCGAGAGAGAGAGAGAGAGAGAGGAGGGAATAGAGTTCGAACAGCATCAATTGGTGTAGTTTACCGCCTGTTTTCTAATGTGAGGTAGATTTTATTCCCATGTTTCGTTAAGTTAATCCGGACGACTTCACTGAGAACGGTATAGTCTGGATTAGTGAGGTTTCAATATATATCTCATACACACTTATGTGTTGACGTTGCGCGTCCTGACAGATGAAACGTCCTGAACTGTGTGCACTAAGAAATCTAACGCTACTTTAAGCCAGTCCTGTACTATCACGCCTGGGGGAGGATGACAACAAAATTAGGTTAAACATTGTCTTAGGGAGTCGAATTCCAACTTTTATATAAATCAAAGTGTTGACGTTTGGGCTTTCTGACAGATGAAACGGCGAGTGGTTTATTCTTCCTGCAATGTTTTATTTACGATAAACAACTCCCAATCGTCGTTTATTTCTTATATGAGACATCAACATTATGTACAACCTCTTTAAGAATTTCAATAATTTGTGCATGATTTGAAAACAATTACCAATTTAAATAATGATGACTCCCCAATTACAATCAGACCTCAGCAATGACGGACAAGTCAATTTTATGTAAGGGGGTAGGGGGTGGTTATCTGCACCTTTTATCCCAATACCGATTGTCATATCGTTATACCGATCGTATTGCCCATCCCAACCCATCTGGTTTTACGCCGCTTTTAGCAATATTCCAGCAATATCACGGCGGGGGACACACATTGACATGCATGCCCTAAAAATGCATACCCAGGAAATCAAAAGTGCTACTCATAGATAGGTAACTTCCTTAGAGGGACACGACTGAGAACCCACTTAAGGTTATTGTGAGTGAGTGAGTGAGTATGGTTTTACGCCGCTTTTAACAATATTCCAGCACTATCACGGCGTCTTTGGCGTGACGAGCGAGCGCTTTAACCACAAGGCTACCCGACCGCCCCAGCTACATTTTTGAGGAAAAACGCAATAGACACGTTCCTCTAAAAAATAACGTCGTCCTGTTTACGACATCATCAAGTAGCGGGCGCATGATCGAATCTCCGGGAATGACGTCATTATAGAACAATGTTTTACCGTGAAATAAACAATCCTTCGTATTTCATTGTTCTTTGCGATTTATCGCGAAGCTATCTTATATGCGCATATATTGGCCTTTGGGTTTAATATGGAATTTAGTTTTTATTAGAGATAGACTATTTTTTCTGTCATTGCTTAAAAACAACGAACACTTTTGTGTTGTATATACGTCTTTGTTCCGTGTAATGTTTTTTTCTGCATTTAACATTAATATTTCATTCTGGATATGCGGGAAATTTGATTTTAGTGTGTGGGTGGTCTATTACGTCAATCGCAATGAAAGTTATGTATTACCTCCATCAAGGAATGCAGTTGATAATTGGCACGCCCATACATAAAAATAAAAAAACCAAATGAAAACAAATCATTAAAAATATATGTACCTGAAAATGTAGATGAATCAGATGAAAGGTTTTGCTATTCTTACCAACAAATAAAATTGTTCTGCCCCGTGAAACCTCGTTAATGCGATTGTTGTTAGTGCGGAAACCTTAATTTTCGGGCGATTACATTAATTATTTATAAACGTTTACATGAATACAAAGAGACATTACTTTGGGCAAATAATCGTCAATCTGAAAACTGGTTAATCCGGGCGGTTTTGCTGAAAACTTATCGTCCTGATTAACAAGGTTTTACTGTGTTTCGACAATGTTTCAACGCTATCAGGCTTGTAGTCGAGAACGAACGTCGGCATAAATCTATAAAGAGTATTGCACATAAGATCTGAACTAAACTGTATTTCCGTTTTAAGATAACCCTCTGAATGTTTTAAAGGAATATTAAATTTTAATTCGTTTATTTTCAGAAATAAACCGATTCCTGAGGTCATGGAAAAAGGACAGATCGTTACCCACGCAAAGAGCGACAGCAGTCGTGTAGTCCTCAACAACAGAGTATATGAGAATATCTCGAACGCAACCGTAGGCACTTCCGCCACTGAAATCGAGAATCATTCCGCTAATGCTTTTACAAAGCGGAAAAACCTTCGCTTTGAGTCAGGTCAAGATGCTCTGGTGCCACGACAATGTCGCAATGTGAACCAGCGAGAGCAAATTCTTTTTAACACGCTGGAGAAACATCTGTCCCGTCAGCAACAATCTGCGTTGCAGAGCCAAGATCACTCCATGCAGAAGTACAGACAGCGCCTCGCCGGATACGAGCGTCTGCGCATGCCCGCGGATGAATCGATAAATGGGAGTTGTGTTGGCGCGTCGAGTGGCAGCGAGGTTGTGATAGGTAGTGAACGGCGCCCCGGGAGCAAAACAATCTCGGGGATATCAACACATGCGTCGATATCGACGTATGCTGTGAAACACGGCGACCAATCAATAGCCACCGTTGATGTAAACACAGAAAAGGAGGCTGGGCCTGATGTTGTGACCAACGCTCCTGCTGAGAGAGCGCCGAGTGTATATAACACAGCCAACTCGACACGTGCCAGTCAGTCTAACGATTTGGGCGGAAGGAGTGTATCACAGGATTTCAGAGGGAAATTACCGAGTCAGAAAAAGTCGAAGTCGTTCAGGACTTTGGAGTCCGTAGTAAAGAAGATCCACTCGCAAAAGAAGATTGGCCTGAAAATCAGCATGCTCCGAGCACCAGATTCCTCCGGTTGCACGTCAACAGATTCTAACCTGTTGACTGTGGATGATAACAACATGAGGCCTCGAGCTTACACAGACCCGACATCCGATGGCAAGGGGAAGATGGCAATTAAGCTTCCCGAGATTACCATTGAAGACTGTTCGGACCCTGAAGACAAGACGAACAGTGAGGTAGAGATGTTCTCCGGTTTCTCCCAACCACGCCGCAGGGCGAACACTTGTCCGGAAGAGTTCTTTAACAGACGACGGAAGGGTAGGCCACCAACTCCCCCTCCAACATCCAGGAACAGCAGCCCAAACAACAAATTCACTTTCGGGAGCGCCAGGAGCGCCAGCAAAAGTCCCGTGTCATTCGTGCACCACAAACTGAGTAAAGTTTTCGAAGATGGCGGCGAAGCTCCCAGTGGCGGGAACGTGTCAAAAAAGTCGTCTGCTCGTATGAGCAAGCAGACGAACGTTAACAGACGCAGTTCCTTCAACACCATGGCTAGCCTTAGGGCTGGTCTTGCCTCCAAATTAACTCTGACAGAATCGGAGGACGAAATGAGCAGAGGCGGTGACATCCCTCCACCCAGGGCGGGAAACGGACCGTTTGCTGTGACAAAGCCCGAAGCTTCGAGGGCAAGTGACAATAACAAGATCTCGGGATATAAGTCTCAGGGTCAGGAAGTGCCTGACGTATACTCTGCCAAGGATTGCCGCTTCTCGCAGAAAATATCACCAACGTTGGACGGGAAACCCCTGCAGGCCTGCTAACGCCACTTTCGCCATGACATTCAGGTTTCCATAATATTCACCTCACAGCATCTCACGGTACAGACTTACAGAGGACTGTGTGCCTACATGGACATAATGAGCGATAACTATCAAGGCAAATGATTCATCAACGGCCATTGACAATTACAAAGCTTTTGATCTTGTGACAATCAACACTTGTACACATTTGGAATGGGAAAGTCCCGAACATGGATGTATCGTTTTATTCTGGCGGTGAGTGCCATCACGAAAACACTTACAGTTGTACATATTTGTAAATACCGCTGTTCCCAATTTCCTTCTGATACATTCTATATTTGACTGTGATATTTCACTTCATAAGCAATATTTCTCTGCAAGCTATTTCCGTTTGAATAATCACCATGCCATGTCTCCCAAATCTCATTTATACACTAATGTCCGCTTTTAGTTCAATTTGATGACATTGGGGTCACTTTCCCGCTTCAGTCGGTTTGGCCTGGTCTATTAACGCGGAATTGTCACGCTGAATAGACCAATAGATGTTGCCATGGGAACGAACACTCTCTCCACCGATTCATATCCCTGACTCCCCGAGGGTATCTTGGGGGTGGGATGGGAGGGGCGGAGTTCGTGCTGTAGGTTGATTAGTTGAATAAGGTATGTGGAAGCGCATGGACATCAATGTAGAATAATGTCAAGCGTTGTAGACTTATATCATTTTCATTGCTATTTACCATATATTTCCACATTTATGTTTCCACTGATTGAACTTTGGAGTATTCGAGACAGCAGATGATCAATTACTTATCTGTTCTCTGTAAAGTAATCTGTCAATCTATAAATCGTATATTACCATTTAATTAACCGTCATTATACTCATCCCTTGGGCGTCATTTGGTTGATGCATATCATCGTGTCCTAATTGCGTGGATCGATGCTCATCATGTCAGTCACTGGATTGTCTGGTCCAGACTCGATTATTTACAGACCGCCGTCATATAGCTGGAATATTGCTGTGTGCGGCGTTATACAAAAAAACAAACAACACTTATCCCAATAGAGAGATATGTGGGACGATGGTTGAACTTTAAGATAAGCAGTACGTTTTTAATGGGTTTTTTTCAGATAACAGGGTCGGTGGGGTAGCCTAGTGGTTAAAGCGGTCGCTCGTCGCGCCGAAGGCCTGGGTTCTGTTACCACATGGGTACAATGTGTGAAGCGGCGAAAAACCATACTCACTCACTCAATTAACAGAAGTTCAAATTATCGAAACGTGCACATCTAAAGAGGCGACATTCTGCCTAAACCAGCCTTTAAAACATAGCATGACCTGGGTCCTTTTCACGAAGCAATCCTAGCGCTTCGACTCCCGTACGTCTATGTTAAACTATGTCAGTTACCATTACCTTAACGCTAAGGTCGTTGTGTGAAAAGGGGCCCAAATCCTTTGATAACGATCTTGCCATATTGAGAACAAATATTGTTTGGTTCATCTTTGCCAATGTATTTAAGTGATGGTAAGATGATATGGGTCTTTATCACCATGGCGCTTGTCAATGTAGTTTAGAATAATAACGGTAATAATGTATTGACCTTTCCTTGTAACGTTAATCGCGGAAATAGTGTACATCCAAATGTCAATAAGCAGTCCCATTAAGTACAACGTCGGCTTCTGTCCATGCTATGAGAGAGAAAACAAGCTTATGTTGTCATAACGGCCTGTGTGTCTCATACATGGGCATCGGTTATAACAAGTATTGATTATATGACACAGTATATTGGGATGGTGGATGGGAGAGCTGTAGGATTTTCAAGACTGTATAGGTGGCGCGTAAAACACGCGAATTTTGCTAATTTTGTTTTAAAATAAATGTTTTTGTTCTTCATTTGACTTTTCAAAACTTATACTGCATGTATCAATGCTTGTTTGTTGTTTAACGTCGCACTCGCAATATTCCCGCTACATGACGGTGGCCTTTAAATAAGTGAGTCTGGACCAGACAATTCAATGACTGATATCATGAGCATCGATCCACGCAATTGGGATACGATGACATGCATCAACCACGTCACCGATCCCGTTAGTCGCCTCTTACGACAAGCATAGTCGCCTCTGGGTTGCTGAAGACCTATTCTACCCCGGATCTTCACGGGTAGCGTGTAAAAATTATAGCTATCACTGTATAAACACACGTTTGTTAAGAACATATTGACCATGTCCACAAATCCTGCATATTGTTTTGTTATATTTAAGTATGGTTTATAATAATCTGTCTGTATATGTCAATCCTTTCTACGTGGGCACGGGTGGCTCAGTCTTCTGCAATTCGTTGTGCAGTGTTGCGCCCCTTGAGCACGCCAGAATCATATGATCGTGGTTTCGAATCCCGAATTGCCGTGATTATAATCTAGGTTTGTCAGCACCATACCCGTCCTCGTGGGTACCACCGAAGTGGTAAACGTCTAAGACCAGTATCACTTCGGGCTTTCCTCCAAAATCAACACTGACACGCCGTGATATAACTGGAATACTGTTCAAAGCGGCGTTAAACCCAACTCACCCACGCACTCTTTTCTCCATTTCATTCAACAAATGTACAGTTACTTTGGATATTGTTCAGATATATTGAACTCGTTCTAACAGGTTTTCCTGATCCAGTTATTGTCGCGATACGCTTGAAATAATGCCGATGCGACGTTAAATTGTAACTCACTCACTGATCCAATTATATACATGGATGTTTGACTTAAGCAACTAGACACCAAATTTGCTTAAATAATTATAATTTAACTTAATGCATCAGTAAGTTTACGTGAAACCTGCTCACCTAGATGTATAGAATTATGTCCATCGTATTCTTTTGTTTTCATTAAAAGTAACTTTATGTCTATTTTACTCTGATTTAATCGTCACATCATACACTGTTAACCTTCTTCCTTACATCACTGTACGTTCAATAATGTATATTCATATGGAATTTTACATCTGTATATTATGATTATCATTGTGTACTGATAAAATAATCTTTGATATATTTTAACATTTTTAACTTACCGTAACTGATTCCTATCCAACAGTGTGACCTGTTTCAATACTGTATATAACTTGCAAATGATCAAGGCATTGTATTGTTAATATTCTCTTTATACTCTCAAATGGTTATTGTTAATTGTAAATAAATGTTATTGTACAATGTCTTTCAGAATAAATATATAAATTTATACATGATGATTTGTGTTTTTTCTATATATTGGGTGTGTATACACAGTGAACAAGTGGTAAGAAGATTTGAAGCTTGAAATACATTTTCGGACTCTTATCGAATGTACCAGCACACACACACACACACACACACACACACACACACACACACACACACACACACACACACACACACACACACACACACACACACACACACACACACACACACACACACACACACACACTTATTCAGGGAAATATACCATTTTTCCGTTTTATAAAATGTATACAAGTAACAAGCAGCTGAGACTGGAAAAAGAACAAATGTTTATCCAATTGATGAAACCCAAATTGAATGTATTAATAGATTTGTCATTTCAATCGTAAATGTTACACTGTTACTTTACAAATACTGTATATTTTAATTCAAATGTCTCCCTACAATTGTTAAATTACTAGGTGTCGTCGCTGGAGTGTGTAAATACATTATGACGTCACAGTTGTAATTTATGACGTCATCATAAGTATGACGTCATATTATATGTCTTTGTCATGAGACAGCGAAAGTACTATGTCTGAAACTGATATAAAGAAGATGCTGGACTAACGTGGACTTTATTATTTTATTATATATTACATGTACACCGAGTGAACATTTACCTCATTTTTGTGTTATTTACTTGATTGTTTGTAGTTGGTGCAATGAAAAGTATATCGGAAAGACAGAACTTAAATTAAAAAGAAGAATGAATCTTCACCGTTCACAAATAAAGCAGCCACACAACCGCACGATTCCACTCAGTGAACATTTAGAAGCATGTGGAAACGGCAACTTTTTAGTTTTCCCGCTATATAAGCTAAATTTTGATCATGAACCTACATTGTTTCAAAAAGAGCAACATTTCATTCATAAATACGCGCCTACGTTAAATGTAAAGGCGTAAGTTATTTGTCTGTTGTCACCTTGGTATTGTGACGTCATAGTTTCCTAAATGTTATGACGTCACGCAACTATATGTTACTACTTCATGTTCGTTATTCAGTTATGGCCTGATGAGACTCGTACGTGGTACGAGTTGAAAGCGCTAGCCTATTAAAACTGTGTTCAATCTTACTCCACTTATTTAATTATTACTATATATATATATATATATATTTATATATATCTTCTTAATTCCCATTTGATATTTGTAACATAATATTCAACAGTCAGCAATGACTGAATATTCTTATAATATGCAAGTCGTTTTGAATCATTGATGTTACTAAAAATAATTGTTTTCCACAATCGTCTAATCTATGTCTGAACATCGACAGAAAATGTGAAATATCTGTTTCTGGTGTGCACTGCTAAGTTCAGATCAATATCATTGTATGCTCTCAATATCCTACACGCATAAGCTGAAAAGACATGACATGGGTTGAGTGTTACTATATCAGGCTTGCTCTGCTCTACAATATGTGATGCACTTTTTCTGTACCTCGATTTGCCGGAATATTACTGGAACATTGTCGGAATATTGCTGGAATATTGCTGGAATATGGTTGGAATATTGCTGGAATATGGTTGGAATATTGCTGGAATATTGCTGGTATATTGCCGGAATATTGCTGGAATATTGCTGAAATATTGCTGGAATATTGCTGGAATATTGTTGGAATATTGCTGGAATATTGCTGAAATATTGCTGGAATATTGCTGGAATATTGTTGGAATATTGCTGGAATATTGCTGGAATATTGCTGGAATATTGCTGGAATATTGCTGGAATATTGCTGGAATATTGTTGGAATATTGCTGGAATATTGTTGGAATATTGCCGGAATATTGCTGGAATATTTCCGGAATATTGCTGGAATATTGCTAAAACCCTCTTAATTAATAATTAGAAATACATGATTTTTATTATTCCACACATCCGGAACACCATGTAAGAACGATGTGTTCTTACATATACTGCCAGCACCGGGTGTTCATTGTGTGACGTTTGTCCTTGTAATTGGTTTTTCTTTAACTTCCAAATTATACACGAGACGTTCGTGAAGAAGCTTTAAAAAAAGATAGAATGAATTGTGTATGTACAAGGCTCGTGTCTTCTTAAATAATGTCCACTAAACCGTATAAAACAGAAGGAAACCACAATACCAATGCATCATGGTGCAATACCAATGTCACCAGGTGTTCGTGAGCGTATGACAAAGTGTCCATTATACACTCGCCTCGTCTCATTCGAATAGGACCTCGACCGGCACTGACAAGAATCCATATTGGAACCAGCTTCGTGTACATGACAATCACATGACATAACACAAGGCGGTTGCCAATCTTATATAACTATTCAAGTTGCTGTATGCCTAATTTCTAGTATGCAGAGAAAACGTCCGTCATGGTACATCGTATGCGGAAGGATCTGGCGTTAGGGTCACAATGGAGCTTGAAAACCATATGTTTCTCCAAAGTCAAACTTTACTGTTTTTTGTTTAAATTTTGGTGACCAATCATAGAAAAAAGGGTTTATATCGGTCAAATCTTTGTTTATTGCAAAACTCAGCAATATGACACCGTTTTGTGAGAAACGTTAAAGAGATTCTAATCTACCTCACTCACTCACCATTCTTCATTTTCACAAACATCACCCGCCATACTCACTCACTCGATAACGCATTCATTCACCCAACTACCTATCGAAAACCGCTCGCTCACTCACTCGATCACGCATTCTCACTCAACTATCCATCGAAAACCGCTCACTCACTCACCCACTTATTCACTCACTCACTCGATCACGCATTCACTCACCCAACTATTCATCGAAAACCGCTCACTCACTCACCCACCCACTTATTCACTCACTCACTCGATCACGCATTCACTCACCCAACTACCCATCGAAAACCGCTAACTCATCCACTTATTTACTCACTCACTCGCTCACTCCTCACTGTGAGATGAGCAAGCAACAAACATATCCTCTCAACATATGCTTCCAAGATGCTGCGTGCCCGTGAATGTCATGGCATAAAATGTAATGCTATAGGCCTTTCCAGACACTTCCGTGTGTACACTTCTGATGAAGGATCCCATCATTGTGACATTAATTGGGAAGAAAGACAATTCGGGCTCATTAACCGGCAATCATCTAGAATCATTCTAAGACGGTTTCTATTTAATGCCTTCCGACTTCCTTGCAAACCTTCCGACAACCTTGTTGATTTTAAGACTTTCTTTTTTATCGGAGACACATAAACGCCAAGAAACGGATAAAGCATTTATTAAGCACGGAAATAGAACTTCGTCCTGTATCATATAACCTTATGGATATTTAAATAATACCATCCCTTGGCCTCACTGAATTTACACCAACAAGTCTATGAAGGTAGAATGATTCAGGAATTTGATGGACTCATAGAATTCCCGATGGAGATGCGGGATAACTGATATGCTTGTTGTGGGCAGCCTCATTAAGGAAGTTAGAGAATGATCGATGTGTCAGTGGGAGCATATACTTTGATGCTGGAAACCAGCCTCCTTGAATGGTAGCCTCACCCAAAGCAGTTTGTATTTTATTTTGACATGACATTACTGCTTTTGCTTTTACGATTTAAATTCGTCTTGGTTTTGAATTACATTAGTTGAACCCTTCCTGTGCTGATAGATACACGATGTTGAACAGAAAGGAATGTTTGTTGGCGAAGGAGTGACTGAAACTGAAAGAAGGTTTTGTAAAGTGTTTGTCAGAGACTGAGAGAAGGTTTGGGATCTGTTTGGCAGAGGCTGATAGAAGGTTGTTCATGATGTTTGTCAGAGGAAGATACAGATTTGGGATAGTGTTTGTCAGTAGCAAAAAAGACTGTGGGGTGGAGAGAAGATACATGTATGTGACGGCGTTTGTGAGAGACTGTGAGAAGGTATGAAATTGTGTCTCTGAGAGACTGAGAGAAGATATGAGACAGTGTTTTTCAGAGGTTGCAAGAAGGTATGCAATAGTGTTTGTCTGAGGCTCCGATAAGGTATACAAAATAGTGTTTGTCAGAGGCTTCGATAAGGTATAAAATAGTGTTTGTCAGAGGCTGCGAAAAGGTATGAACATGTGTTTTCTCAGATGCTGCAAGAAGGTAAGGAACAGTATTTCAAAAAGGCTGAGAGAAAATGTGGGACGGTGTTTGCCAGTGTCTGCGAGTAGGTATCAGATATTGTTTGTCAAAGACTGAGAGAAG